TTTGTGATTAATGTTGCCTATTATTTTTGTGATTATTTGGAAAAATATGTTGAGATGTTTGTTGAGAAATTATGTGAATATTTTATTGAGAAATTATAGAATTGAAATTATTTATTTTGAAATGTTTTGCTAAGTGGGATGTTATATTGTAATATTGTCAGAAATAAAAAAATTGTGAATGTTGTAATATTATATATTTGTCCAATGTTGATATGTTATGGTTTGAATATTATGAGAGGTATTGTGAGATTTATTATTGTATTTTTGTACCACGTGGTAGGTCCCTATTGGAGGTCCAATAAATGGCTTTTAAGGACTCGGCCTAATTTATCTTTGACTGAATAATCTAGTACCAAGTAAGTAGTACGACTCAAGTTTAATGAAAGGAGATAATGATGATTATTTGTCATGCATTATAATATCTCTTGCATTTTTGTTGAAATTATATAATTACTGTTTTCCCACTTAGCAAGCATATATATAACTATTTGCGAACATTATCATAAGTTGTTATTAGTTACTAGGACTTTTGAGTCTCATTATATGATTAATAATTTTAGGAGAGGAGCTATGAGTGACACATGGAGGACTCCTTAAAGCTTAGTGATGTAGATCCACTGTTTCTTTTGGATACTTTGATTTATAATTTTTAATGTGTTATATTGTCAATGCTAGAACTTTTTATTTATTGATAATTATATGAATGTAATGATATAATCATGCATTTCAAACCGTTTTTGCTATTTGTACATTACTGTAACCTTGATGTCTAGTTTATTCTAGATGGTTTGAAATGGTATGATTATTGGGCTATAGAATTGGCTTATTTTAAAAATTAATTGAGTTATTCATTTTGATTATTGGTTTATGGTTTGCACTTATTGAAAGTATAGGGTTGAAAAAATGTGATTTTGGCTTAATATAGCATGTGGGAAGTTAAAAATTTATTTAAGGTGTTAAATTGTGCAAATTTAGGTTAATTATTAAATGCATTTATATTGAATTGATGTATTAATATAAAATGTATTGGGTGACTGTAACTTAACTATGGTAATAGATGTGTATTAGTAGTATTGAAAATTATTTTGTGTTATTTGACAAAATTGATAGGTGGTTTTAAAATCTTAAAACGCATAACTATTTTTTATTTTGCTATTTTATTAGGTTTATTATATTTTCAATTTTAAATGGATATTTTGCCCTTTCACACTTATTTTATTTGTTTTAATTGCTTGAATCTTAAATTTTAGAAATGACAATTTACAAAGTTTAAATTCTACTTACTATAATATTATTTATTTATCTACCTTAATTTTTTTCTACCATGATAGTTATTTTGAAAAGTGAAATATTTTATAGAACTATGTTTTTTTCTTTTCCTACCATAGTAATATTTTAATTTACAAAATGATTTTAAATATAATATATATATGTATGTATGTATGTATGTATGTATGTATGTATGTATGTATGTATGTATATGTATATAATTACTTGACTTCTATTTACTATGGTAAATACTTTTTTATTAAGTTAATTATTAAAAAAAATTAGGACATTACACAATATTTGGTGTTTGTATCATTTTTTTTATTTTTAAAACATATGTAAATATTCTGGTAATACAAAATTATACATACAGAGATTTATTTTGAATTAAAATACCTTTTTCATGACAAATGTTTAAAAATCATTTGGGTTACCAACAAAATAATCTCAATGCATACATTTTTAAACTTTTTAATTATATTTAATTTTTTAGTTGTGGAATAAATTGGCTAAAATAATATTTAAAATGTTAATGTAAAAAGTTAATAAGATACAAATTTAATACAATATGAGATAAATTACACTCTTGTAAGCCTTAAAACTTTTCTAAATAGACCACTTTATTTAGGCTAAATTATAATAATGACCACACAATAGTTTTAGAGTTAAATGGCAATTTGGACCATAAATTATAGATTTATGGGTGATTTGAATCCTAAATTTATATTTATTATATTTTAAACTTTGAATAATTAAATTTGGAATAATCTCGTCCCTATGGTTAAATTGCACTAAACATCTATTAGTTTAAATATAGTAGGGCCCACATTTTTTCTACTCACACCCTCTCTCTTCATCTGATTCTCTCCTAACTCCCTTCCTCTCTCCCCCTATCTCTCTCTCTCCTCTCTCACTTCAAGACCCTCTCATGTCTAGCTAAGTATAAAAAAAGGAAGCCATCATATAATTTGTCCAAGAAGCATCTTAAAAAGTATGCATGTTAGTGTATTAAAAAAAATGCATCTCTCTCTCTCTCTCACACTAACTGCATTCTCTTTAATGTTCTCACATATTTCAATTTTCAATATCCCCCATTAAAGCTGCTAAGTGCAAAACAATGTTGCCTTTATTGTTCTTAGCCCCAAGCACCTCTTGCATGTTATGACTTGCTCTATCTTCAACCTTGTCTTTTCAATACCACATGGAATCACCACCAATATCATTGTCTTGAGTTCACCAGAATCATAAGCAATAGTATTAGTTGCTAGCTATTTCATATTAGAAAGTGCATAAGTCCCTCCAATAATCATTCTAGAAGGATTCTCGGGATCCACATCCTAAGCTATCATCCTTGATTAAGGATCCATCGAAGCTAAAGAAGGTTATTGAAACTTGGCCATAAGTGTACTTAGGTTATTATGCCTCATGTTTTAGCCATCGTCGTTGTTGTTGGCACCTACTAAACTTATGGAGCCATTGACACAGTGACCTATGACAATATGACTATGGTTGCTGTCATCCACTTCCCACATGAAGGGCTAAGCATAGAGTCAAATATCATTCAGGGCAATACAAGAAGCTTGATCAGTGAAGCACATGCCATACTCACTCAAAACACCAAAGCCTAAGTACTTGAAATACTTCTAACTCAGTGACATCATCAATCATCACCTAGAGGACATCTAGCCTAAAATTTAGCTACGTGTTGCATCATAAGTGTTCATGAGAAGAGAGACATTGATAGAAGGGGAGGGGGAGGGGGGAGGGAGATGTCAAAATGGGCCCATCACTCAAACATACGTTTAGTGCAATTTAACAGTGAGGGCTAGACTAACCCAAATTTAATTGTTTAAAATTTAAAATGTACTATATATGAGTTTAGGGTGTAAATTACCCCCGGGTTTATAGTTTAGGGTCTAAATTGCCATTTAATCCCTGTTTTTAATATTTACATGCGTGGCCACACATGTTGAATTTTATTTCAACAACATTTCATAAGGCATATTGTCAACTTTTTAGGACAACTTTTTTTTTACTCTCCATTAAATATTAATGGAAAAAATAAGGTTAAGGGTCATTTTTGTCCTTAAAATGTACACAAAAGTTCATAAATAACCCTAAACTCAATTAAGGGTCAAATTTATCCCTGAACATCATAATTTTACTTCCTATGTGCCTAGTTTATCCATTAGTAGGGCCCACTCCATACTCTTTTTTATTTTTTACACCCCACCCTTCCCTCTCTCATCCATCTCTCTCCTTTATCTCTTCCCTACTCTCTCCCTTCTCTTTATCCATCCTCTCTCTCTGCAATCTTATATAAAACTAGAGGAATATTTGAATCAATAATGTTTAGATAAGAAGGATCAAAAAGGTTTACACGAGAATGTTCTTCACCATGGCAAAAACTTCTTTGGCTATGAACCTGGCAACGTGGGTTCTTGGCAACTTCATCTCCCCTCATATTTTGGCTCTTTTTCTCCTTCCCAGAGCTCGTTTGGCATCACCACTACCATCACCTCCTTCATCAACAAGTTGCTATATAGCACTGATTCAACTTCCATACTACTCACATTCTCAACCCCATTGATAACCATATCCTTGGATCGATCTTTAATCTCTAAGTAGTCATTCTTGAACTAGACATTCTTTCTCTCCAAGCTCTGTCCCCTTAAATGTGCCTGGCTAGCATAGGCACAGTGCACCGACGTCCCCACATCCTGTGCTTCACTTTGCTGTGAGCAATATGGTGAGTAAGTAACTCCTTATTCACATCTTTTGCCATCACCCTTTTCTTGTCCACCTTCACCACTAGATCTAGCATCAATATGTACAGTGTCAACTCCCTTAATACTATTTTGTTTAGAAGCCTTTTAGCTTTGGCCGCACCAACAACACTTCATCTACTACTCTCATGCTCATTGGCACTATATAGCTGATGTTGAGAATGTGAGCATAATGGAGGAAGTAGTTTCTGCAACAGCATCATCAAGCCAAGTGCAATGAGGTGAAGGGTAGTGGACAAAGTGTACGGGAACATCCAAGTATAATGAGGTGGAGGTAGTAGATGAAGATATGGAGAAGATAAGGAAGCTTTAGAATGGGTCAGATGTGAGAGGGATGGCATTGGAGGGAGAAAAAGGGAGGAAGGTCAATCTCACTCTTACTGCGACGGAAGCCATAACTGAAAGCTTTAAAGAGTAGGTCATCAATGATGTCAAGAAGGAGGGTGACATAAGGGCATCATTGAGGCATGACCTGAGGATTTTCATGTCAAATATGAGCATTATGGTGTTTAGAGGGCTTGCTTGCGCAAGTTGCATGGTGTTTGATATGGGACTGGCTACCACATGACGTTGAGAGAGTGGGGAGGGCAGGATGTAAAAAATAATAAAAAATATAGAGTGGGCCCAATAACAAGAAATTAACCCTAAGGGCATGGAAGAAGTAAAATTTTGAAGTTGATGGATAAAATTGACCCTTAATTGAGTTTAAGATTATTTATGAATTTTTGTGTACGATTTAGGAATAAAAATGACTTTTAACCAAAAATATATATATTATTAAAGTATTTATATTTTAGACAAAAACTAAAAAGTTTTAAGGTGTTTCTTAATTCTTGTATAACAAATTGAAACTAATTTATAAATAAAAGTGCAAGCGACTAGATAAGTGATTAATTTGAATTGTAACTCATTGATCCAAATTATTAGTGTTACTTAGAAGTAAACTCATGAATGTCTTCCACCAAAGCGTCTCTGTCTTTGCTGAAACGAAACCAAAGCTTCCACGAACTGCTCTTTACCAAAATCAGGCCAAAGTTGAGGATTAAAGAAGAGTTCTGTGTAAGCCATTTGCCACAGCAAGAAATTGCTCACTCTGAGTTCACCACTGGTTCGAATCATCAGATCTGGGTTCGGGAACTCAGTGCACTTGGTTTCAAGTTCTTGCTCCACGAGGCTTTCGTTGATGTCTTCTACCTCGACGACGCCGTTTGTGGTCTTCCCTGCGATGGTCATGCAGGCCTGCACGACGTCGTATTTGCCACTGTAGTTAATTGCTATAATTAGTTGTAGTCTTGAGTTTTGCTTTGTTTTCTCCTCTGCGTTACTTATCATCCTTTGAAGAGTGGCTGGGAGTTTTGTTGTGTCTCCTATCACTGATATTTGAATGCCGTCCCTGTAAAATACCAACAGGAATATAGTAACTTAAAAAATCAAAGGAAATGAATAATATTAAGTCACAAAATCTAATTTGGATAAGAGTTGCGTCTTAAAAGATTTTACATGAGTTTCAAATATCATATCCCATTGACCCATTCCTTTCAAAATATTTGTCATTGTCATTTAAAATTATTGCACACATATTAAAAGGTATCAGTAGTATATAAATTATGATACCTCGCCGTTTAATATTGTAAAACACTTTTCTTGAAGTATTATGTTAAAAAATATTATAAAGCATTTTGATTTTTTTAATGATGTAATTAATAAGGTTTCCAAAAAGTATCCTTAATCATGAGAGTGTAATTGATCATTTTTTTAAATTGAGATATCCTATTAAATATGAATAAACATAAAAAATGATATACTCCCTCCGTTCAAAAATGTAAGGCATTTTTAAAGAGTTAGATGTTAAAAATGTAAGGCATTTTTAATTTTTGATGTGTAATCATTATCTTTTTTTTAAGTATCCCTATTGATAATAACTTTATATTTATTTTAGAGTGTTCAATAGGAGTAACTATAAAAAGATAGAATTAGTTTAAAAGTAGGTAACTACTTTATTGAAAGGTAAGATTCGATTAAAAATGTCTTATATTTTTAAACAGAGGGAGTTTAATCTTAAAGATAATTAATTTATTGGTAGTTATAAATTAACTAAAAGTAGAATATACTTTTATCAAATTTGCCCCTATCTACATGGAGTATATTCCATTAATGTGCTAATAATATTTTAATTCCTTCAAGAGTAAAATAGAAAAAGTATTAAATAATTTAACTGAATTTTTTTGGTCAAGAAGATGATTTTTTTTTAAACTAGAGAGATTAAGAGCTTGTTTGTTTTTTATTTTTAAAAGTTTTTTTTGAAAACAGAAAAATTTAAAAATGTGTTTGGATAAGTATTTTTATTTAATTGTTTCCAACACTATTTTCATTTTGGTTTTTCAAAAATAAAAAAAGAAACAACTTCAAATTGTTTTTTATTTTATTTTTTTATTTTTAAATATACTACATTCGATTATTGAATATTATAGTTACCTTGATTAATTTCTATTATTAATTATTATCATTAACTATCAATATCATCATTATTAGTTTATCTTTTAATTCTAAAATTATTATTTAATTGACACAATCAAATATATTTTTATTTTATTTTATTTTAAAAAATAATTTTAAAAACAATAAATGATAATAGAAAACCAAACAAGTCGTAATATTTTGAAACAAGAGAGTATTTGAAAAGTTGCAAACTTGAGAGTTTTGTTGGTTTCAATAGGAATGATCTCTGATTTGCAAGTAAACTCATAATTTATTTCGGTTTTCATAAACCTCATAAAATTTTAATAATTTAAATTGATGTTTATAAAATTATGTTTCAGTAAAATTTGTCATTAACAACAGTGGAGTAATAAGCTACCTTTTGAAAGTCTCAATTTGGGAGCCAATGGTTCTTTCAAAGAGCATCAACAAAAAATCAACCTCCACCTGCACACGCCAACGAAATCTTCAAATCAAAACAAAGAAGGCCATTCACATAAAGACATGGTACAATAATGGCAATGACTTTTTTTTTTTAAAGAAGATCAAATGAATATATTAGCTAAAGACATGAAAAATAGTTCTACAAGTCAAAAGAAAATATAAAAGGACAATTACAGAAGAAAAGATCAACCGGCCATTGCAATAATAATTACAATGACGGGCAAACCATTATTAAATATGTGGGGTCTCAATATTTTAAGTTCAATAATGTGAATTTGTGATTGTTTTAGTTGATTTAAACCTAGTTAGTTTTTTTTTTATAAATTAAAGTTTAGGTAAATTAAGCCTCAAGAGTTTAATTATTGTGTAAGATCATGCCTCTAAGCTTAAAAAAATGTTTATAGAGTATTTATATATTACTCACAGACAAGATCTTCATATCAATAATAAAATTTAACCTTACAATCTTATAAGTTGTGGGCCAACTTTTTATCAACAGTATCAATTTTTATTGATAACCTAATTTAGTTTTATTTCTTCACGAATTCATCATAATCTCTGTATGCAATTAATGCATGATAATTGTACTAGTGGCAAAAGAGAGAGAGGGAAACAGAGAATTGCTGAGAAGACCTACAAATAGATTTTAATTACCAAGACTTCTTATAAAATATATGAATTATTATCAACTCTCAAATCTTATACAATTATAACTTAATAAAAAAATGACAACTTGATATTAAATTCATATCTAAATTATCATTTTTTTTATCAAATTATTATTTTCCTTTGCCAAGTTATAATTATACAAGATTTAGGATATGGAAGTATTTTGTACATTTCATATACCTTTTGATAATTAAAATCCTTACAAGAAAGTGATTTTGTGGGAGAAAAAAAATGTATAGGATAACTTATTCTTGTATAACATGTTCAATTCATAAATAGAAATAACACAACATTACATTAAAAAAAATAGAAGCATATAATATTTAATATATTTTTATTTTTATGACTTAGCAATAATTATATATTTTTATCATATTTTAGTCCAGGATCAAAATAATAATATTTAAATGAAAACTCACTTTTTCCATTTAATTTCCTTGCTGGATTTTTCATAGAAATAGCACATTATAATTTTTATTTTCTAAAAAGTCATGTTAAATATTTTTTTGGTAGAAGTCCTATTAAATATTTCATCACTGAACAATTAAGTCCTAAGAAATTTAAATAATGACAGCTAGATCCGAACAAAGGCTTTCGAAAAATGAATTACAAATATTAATTAAAATAATTGCAAACATTACTTATTATAAATAAAAGTTACTCCTTTGTTAAAAATTTAAGGTATTTTTAATCAAATTTTATCCTCCTAATAAAGTAATTACTTACTTTCAAACTAATCTTATCTTTGTATATTTACCTCTATTAAATACCTTATAATAAATATAAAGTTATTATCAATAGAGCCACTTTTAAAAAAAAGACAATGATTACACCTTGAAAGATTAAAATATTTATATTTTTTAATATATACAACTTCTTAAAAAATATTTTATATTTTTAAATGGAGGAAGTATATTAAAAGTAAATTGAAATTCTTAAATTTATGTTTAAATTAATATATATAATTTAATTTTTTAATAAAATATTATAAAATACTTTACTGTTATTAATTTATTTTTTAGGATTTAAATGTAAATTTTTCAAGTGAAAAAAAAAAATGCTAATCTTGCCCAGAGAAGTATCAATAATAATAATAATAATAATAATAATAATAATAAAACAAAGAAGTTTATCAGTTATAGACGCTATTATTGAAGCTAACCTTCGGGCGAACCCAGTTATCGTGAGAAAACGCGAAAACGGTGAGAACCTTAATCCCCCAACCGCAACAGAGAACGATAATCCTCCTCAGTGACTGCACGCCAGCCTCATGGCCCGCCGATGCCGGCAACCCCCTCATCTTGGCCCACCTCCCATTTCCTTCCATAATCACCGCCACCTGCTTCGGCATCAGATCGGGTCGCAACATCGGCGGCAACGGCTCCGGCTCCGGCCAAGACCCCGAAACGGCAGCCACATTCGGGGAATGAAGTGCCGTCATGTGGCTTTGAGAACTGGGAAAGAGCGGACGAGGGAAGAAGCTGCAGCGTGTTTGGGAACGGGTATGAGTTGGAGCATGAGGCTTAGAAAGCTGGGTTAGTGTATTCTCCACGGGAATAGGAAGCCTGTGCAGGAACATGGTGGCGTTTCTTGTCTAGGATATGAGAGTGTGGGTGTGTGTGGGACTTGAGGGTCTTTATTTATAAATAACAATAATAACAATAACAACAACAACAACAACAACAATAATAATAATAATGAAGTCACTGTTGGTGTGAAACAGAACTATCACGAGGCCTGAACATAATTAGGTATGTGAGTGTTTGGAGACAGTCAAGTGAATGTCCTTTGACTAACGTCCAGCTACGATAATATTGGCTGGGCATACTCTCTCTGGTTACACACACACACACACACACACACACTAGAGAAAATAACTATAATTTAAAAAAATTGATTAATTATAATAATTGTATTTGAAAATAAAAAATTAAATTAAAATATCCTTGCATTTAGTCAAAATAATGCTGTATTAATTATTTTTTATGAATGAAAATTATGAGTTTATGAGAGCTAATTTAAAAAAATTGCAATAAATACTTATTGAGATATGTAATTTTACTTTTAAAAAACAAAATAAGAAGGGATAGTTTTTATTATATATAAAAACTTGAAGGATTAATAATTTTTAACCTTTGCACGAAAGTTGTGAGTATTTTGAAAGGCTAGAAGTATTATTGAAATTCTCCCAAAAAAAGAAAGTCTTATGGAATTAACGTTATAGATTATAATAAGACAAACATTTTTAGTAAAGATAGTAATTTGGATCAAGTTCAACTGATCAATAAAAAAGAGTTTGAAAATTTTCTTTGCTTAGAGTTTATTGGAGCAAAGAAATTTGACTCAAACTTGAATTCAAATGAGTTTAGCCTGACTACCTAAATTCTTTTTTATTATGAATAATATGTAATTCACCTTCACTTTAACCTATACTTAGATTTTCAGTTACCACATTTTGCACTCTTAAATGAAATTTTAATTTTCTAATAATTTCTTCTTTTGAATATTTTTGAAAATATTTAAAAAATAAATATAAGAGGTTAATCCACAAGTTTTCTTTTTTCTTTTTCCTTTTAACGCTTTCAATGCTTGGTCTTACTTTAAGAAGAATGAAAAAAGATACGTTGTAATGCTATATTGCTTGAAAAATCTTAATTTTTTAAGTTAAAGTTAAAATCAGCTCAAAAATAAAATAAAAATTTAACAATTCTAGCATTTGGACTGGCTCGAAAGCCAAAGATATTAGAATCAAGCTTGACTAGAGATGGAAATTTAAGTAGGCCTGACTCTTAAGAGTTCAAGTTCTAAAGCTCAATTACTTAAAATTTAATATGATTCTAAGGCTTGACCCCTTATTCAAAGGCCAAGCTTGTAAGCTCTATTTTTTTAAAAAAAATTAACATTTTAATTTAAAAAAATATTTTAAAATTTAATATAAAAAAATTAAAGTCTTACATGAGATTCAACAAAAATTTAAAAGTCTAAATTTAAGGTGAAGATTAAAATATTCATCAATATAAATTTAAATCCTCCTTTTCATCATCTAAAAATAGAATATATTAAATCTCTCAAATATATTTACTTGTTAAAGATGGAGGTGGGGGTTTATTGTCAATTATTTTTGAAACTTCTTCATCATCTACAATAAATATTAATTAAATTGTATAATTATCAATCAAATATATATATATATATATATATAAGATCCCTTATATGCAGGCCTAGGTGTGAGCCGTGAGGTTGACTGGTTGAGGGCGTGAGGGAGAGACAAGAAAGGAGAAGCAAGAGGCAATTGCTTAACTTGAATTCTTCAATCTTTAGAAAATTGAGTGAACTTAGAGTTTAGCAGTCTCTTCTTCAAATGCAGCATTTCGCAAAAATTTTAAATAATAATAATAATAATAAGATTACAGGGTTTAAAGAGTTTCCCGAATCCGAGCATTTTTTTAAAGAACTTATCAAGACCAAGTTCTTAAACCAATTACTTTAAAAAAATTTAATTTTTAAAACTCAAACCCTTATTTAAATAGAACATCCAGGCCTGACCCTTATTTTTGACTCTAGGCTTGACTGCATGTGTTTTTTTTACATGTTCATTTATTTTAAGCCTATTTAAATAAACCCTAACCAAATTGAGTTTATCTCACTCGAATTACCCACTCTAATTTTTATTTTTGGTATTCTACCTACTTTAATTTTATGTCATGATATTAATATATGTATGCACAGTGCACACAATATATACATGATATTAATTGAATGGATGATTTCAATAGAAATATCTAACAAATATGTGAATTAAATTGTTTATTAAATGAAATGAAAATAATGACTAAAGTAATAGAGATTAAAATAATGAAAAATAAAATAATATTCTTTATTTTGAAAAATTTGTGTTAGTCGTTTCTTTTGCGATTTAGGACTTCACAAGAAGAACACCCTTCCTTTCATATTATGTTGTAAAATTTGTCACAACTCATCAACTAATAGTATCCATCAAAATAGATTCCCTCCAGTCTTATTTATATAAAACCTTTTAAAAGTAATTTTTAATCCAAGATATAGTATATCTTACAATAATTAAACTATTTTTTTCAATTTTATCCATTCTTAATTAACATAAAAATATTTAATGTAGTTATATTATTATGTAAAGTCAAAAGTAAACATTAATGTATATCTTGCTTTTTAATGATATAAAAAAATTAATTTTTTTAAAATATGTAAAATAATTAAAAATATCATGTAATGAAAAGCGAGGGGAGTATATAACATGTAAAGGTAATATTAGATATGCATACAGACGACAGACATCCTTGTATTCCCAAATATCTTGTTATTATTAGAAAGGCAACACACATAACATCCTAAGCATCCACGTCACATGTTTTGGATTTTTGGTTAAAAAAATGTTGTAGTGTCAGTTGCTTCATATCATTCAACTTTTAGGTTGCTTCTTGTTCCTCTGTAAATACTTCAGGGGCACATTATCTTTTAACCAAAATTTTCCCCCTTTTTCACATAAGCGTGCCACATGTCATTTAAAAGTCAAAACAGATTTTTTTTTTCTAGAGTCAATGTCCAGATAGCTAAAACGTGACATTTCAATAAATTCAAGAAAAAATAGCAATCAAAAATTACTGGCCAAAATTATATTAATTAAAAATTAATTATTATCAAAACTCAAATGGATACCTATTGATTTCAGATTAGTTGTTTTATTAATAAATATTCATTTAAGTTTTAACAATAACTCATTCTATACTACCAACAGTTTATTTGAATTTATTTTTTATTCATATTTTGACAGTAAGTTTTTTTTTATTGATATAAATTTTAGTCAATGACCCTTGTTTGTTGTTTTTCCTAAATTTAACTCGAGATGATAATATCTTTTTTTTAATAGTATACTTTTTCTATCATAACAGTGATGTCAAAGACAAATGATATATTTAGCCCAATTAAATTATTACATATATAAAATATGTATTTAATTCACTTGTTTAAGTGACAAGAGTATCATCACTCAAGTCAATTTTAATTGATAGAAAGGATAATACTTTAACATACTTTTAACAAACCAATTAATGTTAGTTGGAAGGAAGGGGGCCAACCTTCGTACGTATGGTATGAGGTGGGGGACAACCCTCCTTGCCTAAAATGGCAGAAAGATAAGAATTTGGCTAGTCATGTTCAGTCATTGTATAGATGCAATCGTGCACAAATTAATGTTTTTAATTATATAGATTATCAAATTATTTTTATTAATTGCATCATCTAGTATCCTTAAAAACTTTAGAATATTACTACTTCCTGATCAGTAAATATCAACTGATTTTTATTATCACATTATTTATTGAAAAATATGCTTTACAAGGGCTAACATGAAAAAAAGGAAAAAAAAAAAAGAAAATATGCATAAAAGAAAAAGAGTATTGATATATTTGATTTTCAAGGACATTGAGCGATATTTTTAATAGCAGAGACTATTATTTTAAAAAAAAAAAAAGCCTAGAGAATAACATTTATGAGAGTGTTTCTAGAAGAAAAAGCTCCAGCAAAGTTTTGAGACAGGGAAAGAACATAGAGAAACGTTTACAGAGCGTTTCAAAGTAAAAAATTGCTCTCATATGTTGCACGTGGAGCGTCTATGTGCGAAGCATTATAAAAATGCTCTCATAAAAATTTCTCTGAGTTATGAACGTGACCCACCAAAACGTCTTTGCCTATGTTGAAACGAAGCCAAGGCTTCCACAAACTGGTCCTTACCATAATCAGGCCAAAGATGAGGATCAAAGAATAGCTCTGTGTAGGCCATTTGCCACAACAAGAAATTGCTCACTCTGAGCTCGCCTCCGGTTCGAATCATCAGGTCCGGGTTCGGGAACCCGGTCCACTTAGTTTCTAGTTCCTTCTCAATGAGGCCTTCGTTAATGTCTTCCACCTGAACGACACCATCTTTGACCTTCTCGGCTACAGCTTTGCAAGCTTCCACGACGTCGTATCTGCCGCTATAGCTAACTGCTATGAGCAGTTGGAGTCTCGAGTTCTGCTTCGTCGTCTCTGTTGCACTGATCATCGTTCTCTGTAAAGAGGCTGGGAGTTTCAATGTGTCTCCTATTACTGATATTTGAATCCCTTCCCTGTAACATGTATACCACGAAAAGAGTTGACTATTCGAAACAAGTAAATAAAACAAATATCAATCGAGTTTTATAAAATTATAACATATATGTTGAAATGGCTTAATAATTGAAAAGGGATGAGAGTTAGTTTCTAAAAGAATTTATAACAGTTAAGTCTTTAATAAATTTTTACAAACATATTTAATTTTTTATTGGTGTAATATTATCCCAAGAATTTAAAAAATAGTGCAATTTCGCCTATAGTAATGTTTGACCAATGTTGATCTCTAGTTGAAAATTCTAACTAGTTAAAAAGTAATTTTATTTCAAAAGTTTTTTTAAATGAGCAATTGGTATCTTAAATTTTCTATTAGCATAATATTTATTGGTTATCAATGCTTTAGCTGGAAAGAAAAATCTAACAACTCATTATCATTGTTAAAAATAGTTCATATTTTTGGATCTTTACTAAAGATCTTATTTGAGGTTGCTTTGAAGCAAAATTTATTCCACCCCAAACACTCTATAGACTTTCTTTTAAAATCCGAACTTGTTCTTATTTTAACCATGGGTAATACTTGGCTTGCATAGGCTTACATACAAACTCACTCATACTTGCCTATAGATAACATAGATTAGCTTGAATTTTTACTTAGAGGTATTCGATATAATTCAATCTAAAATTTTCTAATTTTGGGTTATAACTAGTTTATGTTGGACCCTTTTTTATTTAAACATTGATAACCCAAAATATTTTACCAATTAAAAATTTAGGATACCAATTACTCTCTCAAATAAATTTTCAAAATAAAATTGTTCTTTAACACTCAAAATAATAGTCAACATTGGTCATATGTTACTGTAAGATGACATTGTAGCATTTTTTAAACTTTGGGGGTAACATTATGCCAATAGAAAGTTAATGATACCAGCTATGTCAGGTGAAAAATTTCTAGAACAAACCTATCCTTTAACTCATTTAAATAAGTATAAATTAAGAACTATCAATTGCAGATATGATGTTTAAATTTTAAATGTGTGACTCTCAAATTGCATATGGAATTCCCATTTGTAAAATTGATATTTACATCTCATTTTAAAAACAATGTTGAGAACATGACTATCATTAATTTAAAATTTTAAAACTTAACTGTGATTATCCCTAATTAAAATGCTTGGCTCGGTAACAAAGCTGGTTATGAGGGTGTTTAGAATAGTGGAGTAGTCAACTACCTCTTGTAAGTTTCAATTTCCATGGCTATGGTTCTTTCAAATAGACTCATCAAATAATCAACTTCCTCCTGCGCAGGTGGCCACCACATTAGAACAAAAAAAAGCCACTCATATTTTTTTAAAAAATCTGTAGTGTGCCAAAAGTAATAAATCATGCATATCATATAATACACAAAGTTACATGTTTTATTAATATTGTTTACAAATTATGAATACTGTAACTTTTTTTTTATTATAAAACAAGTCTAATTTTTATAAAAAGATGAAACATTAATTTTTTTGACCTAATCAACAACGGATTTAATATTTATATTTTTCAAAAAATAATGTGAAATGCAATTAAAAATAGTAACGAAACTCTCCATGGATTCAAAACTAGCTAGTATTCATTATAGTGATAAGACTAGGACCGTTCAAATTTAATTTGAATAATTTAAATTTAAAATTTTTAATATGTAATGTTAAATCATGAGTTTATTGTGGATGGTTTAGATTGATGAAGAACACCTTATGGGCATGTGCTTCCACCACTAATCCTGAATTTCTAACTCAAACTATGTGCTTCCGATCCACAACCAATGTTAACTCAAACCCTCTCTAATTTGACTTACTTTAACTTTTAGACAGAATACATTACTTTCCTTCATTTTTACTAGCACAGTAGAAATTAAACCTCGCTCCCTTTAATTTATTTTTCATTTCTTTTGTTTGACTCTTTTTTATTTTTAAAACCTATATATTAATATAATATTTAACACCATTAAGGTTATTTTGTTGAAAATTCTAAAATATTTAATTTTTTATTAAATTATTTTAAAATTTTAAAATCATTAATCTATCCATATTCCTTCAACTACCAAAGTAAATCTGATCAACATCTATCCCTATTCCTTATAAGTTAAGCGGCTACTCCATCTCTCCAATTTAATATTATACTATAATTAATAAAATTTAAGGTAAAATAAAAGAAAATTATGTTATAACTATTTTATCTTTTATTAAATTAATTTTTTTTACTTTTTTGTTCGAAATATTATTTTAATCAACATATTTATTTAAACATTAAGAAATTTCTAAAGAAATAAGTTTAAGCAAGTAAAAAAGTTAAAATATGATTGAAAATATGTGCATTAAAACTACTTTTTGGCAACCAAAGTAATTCTTAAATAGTATTTATGTTAAAGAAGAGTATTTTAGTCTAAAATATCCTATTTATAGCCGCCAATTAACATTGATGAAAGTAAAATATTACAAATATTTTATTTAGTTTTTATATTCTAATCTTTATTTACAGGAATAATGTCGAATTATAAAAAAAAAAATGCCATCGTCTCGAGTCTTGCCCAGAAAAGGATCACGGAAACAGTGGCAATGCTATGAGAAACTGACCTTTGGACGAGCCCAGTTATCGCAAGAAAACCAGAAAAGCGTCAGAACCTTAATCCCCCAATCGCAACACAGATCGATAATCCTCCTCATCGTCTGCAAGCCGGCCTCGTGACCCGCCGGTGCCGGCAATCCCCGTATCTTGGCCCACCTCCTGTTTCCGTCCATAATCACGGCCACGTGCTTCGGCATCAGCTCCGGTCGCAGCTCTGGCGGAAACGGCTCCGGCTCCCGCAATGATGATGTCGAAAAAACAGTCACGTTTCGTGGAGGAAGTACGGTGGTCCGGCGACTCTGGAAATTGGGAAAGGGGGAAGGATTGAAGACTCGGGTTGTTTGGAAACGGGAATAAGTAAGAGCATGATGAGGCTTAGGAAGCCGGATTAGAGTGTTATGCACGAGAATAGGCCTGTGCAGCAGGAACATGGTATTCCTATTTCGGAATAGGATTATACGTGTGTGTGGGTGTGTTCGGCTCCGCCGGAAGACGTTAGGACTTGGATGTGGAACACAGCTATCAACAGGGACGAGTTTTATATTCAAAATTTTCTTTTTCCATATGACGCCAGTTCTTAATCGTTTAATTTAATTTTAATTGATTGATTAGTTTGACAATTTCTTGATATGTTATATTTTATTGAAGTTCCTTGATCAACTTAAATTGATTAGTTAATATATGACATAGCTTTCACCAATAAATAAGGCTGTGTGAAAGTAATCTAATCCTATACAACCAGGTCTAATTCGGACAAATTCATTCTGGTCCAATCGTATAAAAAAATTGATATGAACAAGTGAAAAAACCAACAAGATTGGACTTTACTTTCGAGTTAGACTATACACGAAATTGAGCTTTCAAACTATTTGATTTACTTTGATCTTATAAAATTATTTTTAATATAATTATAATTATAATGTGATAAAATCAATTGATTTATTATGATTAGTTTCTAATGTGTTGTGATAAGTTTTATATGATTATAAGTATTTTTATTATTTTAATTGAATTTATCACATTGAAATAAATTGTACCTTCTCATAAAGGAAAAAGAAAAAAAGGGTGAAGTACTAGACTATTAAAACTAATCCCCAATCCACTAGACCAAGTCTAGTCCTATTTAATTTCGAATCAAGCTTAAACTAAATTAAACTATAAATTATAAATCATTTTCTGGAAACTGTCCTGTTTGTTCTTTGTGCAGCACTATCAATAATGATGTGAATTTTGTTTGGTATCTTATTAAAATATTAATTATATTTCTTATATTCAAACATTATATTTAAATAAATTATTGATTATTGATAGCTGTCTTAATAGTTGGTCTTGGTTGATATTTTTTAAAATGTTGATAGTTTTCTAATTAATTAAGTCACTTTAGAGATTCTTCACGAGAATAGGAGGCATGTGCAGGAACATGCATGCCATTTGGAAATAAGAGCGCGTGTATTTGACATTGGAAAAAGTGAGGGCCTGTTTGGTGTATTTTCTGGTTTTATGTTGTCAAGACAACTTTGTAGAATAGTTTTTCAGAAAAATTTTTAAAATAAAAAATGAAAAAAAAATATATTTAAATTATTATTTTAAAAAATATATTTAAATTGATGAAATAAATAGTAAAATAATAATTTATTTTATTAATATAATTACCATCAATAAAAGCATGATATTTTTTACTTTTTCTTTAGTTTTACAAAACAAAATAAAGTAACAAAACATCTAAAAGATATCTTAGCTTTTTAGTTTTTCAGAACAACTTTTAACTTTTTTGTTTTTTAAAATAGATAACAAAAAACACATTTTCAAACAATTTTTTTTACTTTTTTATTTTTCAGAATACAAAGCTATTCTAAAAACAAGTAGTCAAACATGTCTTTCATATACTCTCTTTGTTTATAAATGTAAGATATTTTTAATTGAATCTTATCCTCACTAAAGTAATTATTTACTTTTAAACTAACTCTATTTTTTCATATCTACCTCTATTAAATACTCTACAATAAATATAAATTCATTATCAATGGGAATACTTAAAAAAAACCAATAATTACACATCGAAAGAGTAAAAATACCTTATATTTTTTAACATCCAATTTATCAAAAAATACTTTATATTTTTTAATGAAGAGAGTACTTAATATGCTTGTTTTCAATTAAATCAAGATGTGTTAATTTTTATAAATTATTTATTATATAAAAAATTATTTTATTAATATTATTAATACTTTAAAATCTGGTTGGATTGAATCAAATATATTAAATATATAAGTCTTGTCCATTTAATATCACATGATATTTTCTTGATTTTTTTTACGCCAGCTATTCAGCATGAATATTCTCATTATTAATTTTATTGACATTGTTGTACACAAGATATCTTCCAATCATACATAATTGATCCTCTTATTTCTTCTACAATTTTAAAAGAAAAAATTTTAGGTGGAGACCCTTGATCTAAGATAATAAAAAAATGACTCTAAAATTTCTGAAATTTCATTGAAGGACCCATATGAAATTTCATTTAAATTTGTGACGAAATTAACAAAATTGCTCTCATTTAAATGAATAACATAAATGACTTATTCATTTCTATATTATATGTTGTTTATTTATTTATGAAATATTGTTCGTTTTCCTATCTCACTTGTTTATAGCCCTAATTTCATTTGATTTCATTCCAACTGTTGTTTTATGATAAGTTGACTTGTTCGTTTCCATACTGTATATTATTCATTTACTTATAAAATGTTATTCGTTTCCCTACTTCACTTGTTTATGGACCTTGAAATGAAATTAAGTGAAAGTGGGATTATAAACAATTGAAGTAAGAAAACAGACAATATTTCATAAATAAATAAACAACATACAATATGAGAATGAATAAATCATCCATGTTATTAATTTAAATAAAGGTAATTTTATTATTTCTGTTATAAATTTAAACAAAATTCCATACAAGTCTTTCGGTAAAATTTTAAAAACTTCAGAATTCTCTTTTCCATTATCTCTTGTCAAGGGTTTCCACCTATAATTTCCCATTTTAAAAGCTAGATGAATCTTGTTAACACAAGAGATGTCGTGTATCGCGCTTTTCTAGAATCCAAGAGCACTCCAACCATCTTGTGTAGCTTTCCTCGATCATTTACAAACTTTACTTGATATATGTTTTAAATATTTGTTTATCTTTCTTATAGTTGAACTTTACATTTATAGATGCACTATTATTGCCAGAAGATTTCGGACATGTGGTTGGTTGTGTATTCTCTTATCGTTATTTGGAGTATGGTTAATTTTTACTTTTGAACTTTATTCTTGAAATCTGAGAGTACTTTCAACTTGATATGGATTTTTTGTTTTTGAAGGTTCGAAATGCATTGCCTAGTCACCTCGCCATTAATGCGTCATAACATCTATTTCTAGTAAAATAGGTTTCACTATTTTTATAATAAAATATTAAATTAAAGGCAACTTTTAAAAATGTTCACGAGCTCAGTTTAATTTAGTTTTGAGCAATAATTAAATCAAACCAAACTAATTAATTTGCTCATAAGAACTTGATAAGTTTTTATAAAATTGGTTTGGTTTGATTTTTGTTTTAATTTGGTTAAGGTCTAGATCAAGTTTTAATGAATTTATTTAATTTTTTTTCTTTTTTTCCATCTTTAAATAGTTGGATTTCTTTTAATTTGAATTAATTTATGCATTGCTGGCTCTTTTATTAGATGGAAGGTCCTTACTTATCTTATGTTTTATTTCAATCATAACATATTTATGAAAAATTTTTGAACCTTAATTAATCACATATCTTATACATACATGTTCATTCTTTTTTATTTAATTTTTATTTATTTTATGCTTGGTCTCAAATGAATCAAAGATGAAAAGATATGCTCATATATATTATATTAATCTTATCTGTCTTTTCATTTCATTGGCCTTGAGTGTACTGTATCTTCATGATCTTATCAATTTCCTTGTACCATCCAATATATATATATATATAATGTAAATTAATTTTATGATTGCAAGCAGCAAAAAATTGAAATAATGATGGTGATCAACTAGTCATCTTCATGATTATATTAGATGGACCGTTTGAATCCTCATGAAAAAAAACTCATCACCTAATAGCAAGTATCAAACATATAAATATCTCAAGTCTAAATATCTAAAATTTCAAATATCATGCTATTTAATATTAATAATATTTTTACATTATACATATATATTCAAAACATAATTTTCATCTCTCAATGTCATAATAGATAAATATTATATAAATAAATAATATTTTTTAATCAAGCTTAATTCAAGTTTGATTTAGTTTGATTTTTAGATCGTGAAATCGAAACCAAACTGAACTAATCAGTTTGTATGTCATGCTTCATTTGATCAATGGTCGGTTTATTTCGATTTGGATTGATTTGGTTTGGTTTAGTTTGAATCGATTTTGAATACCTTTAGTTACTTGTATTCCTAAACTTTTCTCTTAGGATCTACGGGTACTTTGGAGCTTTGCTTTAAAGTCTGCGGGTACTCTAAACTTGGGGGAAAAAGTAACCATTAATGAGGTGACACATTTTAAATGTTCAAGGACTAAATGATTAGTATCAATTTTAGAATACTACAAACCCTAATAAGAAAAAAGTTCAAGGGCAAAAGTAACCCTAAAACCTTCTTGTTTTTACACTCCCTTTTACATATTGCATACTCTCTTGTATATTATTCAAAAATTATCTCTTGTATGAATAAAACAAAATAATTGTTTTTAAGAAATATTCACCATTTATCATATCAATATGCACTAGACACATTATAAAAAAATTACTCATAGCATAGTAACAACTAAAACTTAAAATTGACAACACATAAATTGTATTTTAATCCAATTACAATTCAAATGAGTTAATTAATTATCTTTAAAATTACACATTTTTTCATGTTTACATTATTTAACAGGGTGTCACAATTTAAAAAAATCTTACTAATTGCATGACCAATTTAAAGGCAATTTTAGAAAAACCTTATTACTTGCAATTTGAAAAGTCAAAAATGCCTTATACTTCCTACAATTCTTATTATAAAACACTTTTAATTATCTTTAAGGAACCAACTATACCAATTAAGTTATTAACTTTGTCTGATAATTAGAGCTAGCTGATTACTTTAAAAAAATTATTTTTAAAGTCTGAATCTTTATTTAAACAAAACTTTTAAGGCCGACCCTTCAAGCTTGACCTTTATTTCCGACTCTACTGATAAATAATAAACTTTCGATTTCACCCTATTCAAATGAAAATTTTTAAATTTACATATATTATCTCTCATAGTTAATGAGCTTGAATAGGGATAATATTGTAAAAATGTAACTAATACCCAATTAAGTATATTATATTAAGGACAAAATAATTTTTCTAGAAGGCACTCTATAATAGGAAACAAAAGGGCTATTTTTAACACGATATTTTAAGAAAAATGTCTTATAATACTAAATGGATAGAATGTAATTAAGAGGAAT